GATTTCTGTTGTGAAATGGTGCTATGCAACCCCAGAGCATGATGATGCCACCACCATGCTTCACGATAGGAAAGATTTTAGGAGCTGATGAGCAGTGACTGGCGTTCACCAGGCATAGTGCTTGGGGGGTTTTGCCCAAAAACGTTATCTTTTTCTTACATCAGACCAGAGGGTCTTTTTCTGTATTATTTGGTCTTTTCAATGCCTTTTGGCAAACTCCAAGTGGACTGCCTTTTACTCAGAATGACTTCTGTCTTGCTACTCTATTGTAAAGGCCTGATTGATGGAACGCTGTTGAGGTAGTTTCCTTCAAGCAGGTTGTCACATCCCTGACGTAGACTTCTGAAGCTTTGTTGGAGTGACAGTTGGGTCCCTGGTCACCTCCCTGACCAAGACGTTTCGTGTTGGGTTCATCAGTTTGGACGGACAACCAACAGCAGAATTATTGTAGTTTCAAACTTTTTCCATTACACAATTATGAAGGCCACAGTACTTGTGGGAACACTCAGATCTTTAAAAAAAAGGTTTCATATTATTGCTACAGCTCTATGCCCCAACAAAATGTTATATTGGAGGTCTACAGGGAGCTCTTGGGAACTCATTGCTTGGTTTTTGTCCTGACATGCAGTGTGAATCGTGGGGCCGTGTACTTTTATAAACTCTCTCAACTTCATTTATTTGTCACCAGGAGACTACAATCAGGTCTCAAGGATAACTGAAGCAAACAGAAAGCATCTGACTGCAATTTGGAGGGTTATGGAGAAGGGTCTGAATTGTAAATGACAGATTTCAGATTTAGATTTGTATTAAACTGGCAAAAAACTTCCTTTTGTCCTTGAGTGCAGTGAGCGGGCAAAAATGACAATTGTCATAAAACTGTCCACTTAAAACTAAAACTACAGCACAATATATACATGTAAGATGTCTGAATGCATTCTGGTGCACTGAAGACTGCATGTTACTGCAGATTTTTTTGTTGTTAGTGAGTCCACCAGCTGCATACCCACCATATATCAAACTATACTGATGAATTTAAAAGTCTCCTGACGTCAGAAACTGTTAGGAGCATCTATACACTAAAACCCTTGAAATGATTTGCTGCATACGTTTCATGCAGTTCTTCAGCTTAACATGTCAACCTTTTTTGACAGCCTTTTGAAGATCATTGGCATTAAATATTTAGCACAGAAACAAAAACTGACAGACTATCAACATATCAATGCTGTCAGTTTCAATGTAGGTTTGAAGTCTTGTTTTTTCTTCTTTAGATTAAAGGTTGAAGTACTCGTGGTCTTTTAAATGTCATCTATTATTATAGTGACCCCGCATTGGATTGATTTCCCTCCAAGCTACAAAGCCTGACTAAAAAGGACTCTGTGTTGTGTATAATCAGTGTTGGAAAGGCAAATTAAGCTTTGTTATAATATGAGAGAGAAATTCTAACCATTTGGAGAGTGTTCCAACAGCTTTTATTTATTAACATCAAAATTCACCAACTGTTGCAGGAGGTGCAGAGGTCACGGAGCCAGACAGCTGCCACTTTATGAAAATATGGGGAATTATGTTGCAGAGTCCATTAACAAATTATAACTGAGAGATGATTTGGGCTTTACAGATTTGACTCGTGCATTTCTAGTGTATTTCCAGAATTAGATGCATATTAATGGAGTAAATTTTGCATTTCTTACATCCTTTTTTGTGTGAATCTGTGAAATTCAGGTGACATTTTTTGACTAAGATGTAGATTTTATGTACAAAGAAGGATGTTGACACCACTGCAGACTAACACGGTCCGAGGTTATGCTTTCTGAGCCTTGCCTGTGCATCAGCAGGGGACTTTTAATGGTGGAAGTGATGCAGAAGACAGAATGAACGCAGTTTAAACTCACAGGAAACCAGATGGCGGATACTTAGCCAGAGGGCAGCTGGGAAGCTTTTCCCTTCTTTCTTGCTTCCACTGAAACACAGACTGTGTTTCTGACAATACCAATGAATTTTACGCTGTAACCGTATGTAGGAATGTCTGAAAATACAGATGATGGATGGAGTGTAATTTGCACATTGCTCAGGGCAAAAACATATTTATCATCAGGAAGTAGACTTGTTTCCTGGTGATAAATACTGCTGAATGGTGTTATTATCGTCACAGTGAAGCTGCAGCAGCACCTCCCTCTGGCTCCGACAGCCTGTTGGACCGACACTAACAAGAAAACATGTAATTCATGGGCAGTAACCTGTGAAGAGTAAAAATTTAATTGTGGGAACTGATGCTTCCTGGATTTGGAGTTCTGATGAAGTGTCGCCATCTACTGGACGCTTTCAGAGGTGCAACAGAACAACTGCAGTATTCTCAATGAAAATGTGTTAAATCTACCCGCATATCCATCCATCCATTATCTATACACCGCTTAATCCTCACTAGGGTCATGGGGGGCTGGAGTCTATCCCAGCTGACTCAGGGTGAAGGCAGGTTCA